CGTAGCATCGTCGTCGTATACACTGCGCTCTCGCTGACATGCACCGTAGGGGCCGCTTGCGTTGTTGTTGTGCACGTCCTCGTGAATCCCACGCCCGACATCAACTCCTCAGACGCGAGCGACCACATGAAGGCGAATGTTCAAGACAACGACAGTGTCCTGGGAAGGATATTGGTGCGTTGCATCGCCGTCGTGCGACTTGCTTCCAAGCTAACCTATTCCCTAGATCACCTCTACGCTGTTGCTGTGCACATCCTCAGCAAGCCCGCGCCCCGACGTCGTGTTGTAGGACACCGCCGACAGAGTAAAGGCGAAAACTCGGGACAAGAGGTATGATATTGCAAAGTGTTAGGTGCGCTTCATCGTCAGAATACGGACTGCTCCTACGCTGACGTGCTCCCTAGGTCTCCTTTGCATGGCCGCTGTGCACGGCATCCTTAAGCCCGCGCCCGAGGCTGAGTCTTCGGAAACGATCATAAACACGACGGCAAAAGTTCAGGATAAGGAGTGTGGAAAGGGTGCTTTCAGGTGCACTGGATCGTCATCACACACGCTATTCCTTCGCTCACATTATCTGTAGGGCGCACTTACGCCGCCGCCGTGCACATCCTTGTCAAGACCGCACCCGACGTCAAGTTCTCGGACACAATCGAGAATGCCAAGGAGATCCAGGAATGGAACGTGGTAAATGCAGATGTACAGCGGTCTCGCGGAGGTCAGTCATGTCGTCCCCATCTATGGCAAAGTGGAGGAGTTTCTATTGATCTGTCCTGCCGTGTAGTCCTCAGGCTTTGCTCGGGATGCATAACGGGTGTTGGCCACATGCTCGCGTGTTGTTGATAACTGTGTAGTGCTTACGAGCTATGGACTGATGAATTCGGCACGGTAATGCCATACCTATGTTCTGTTGCATACGACTGGCCCTCAAGAGCCCATGTGAACGATGCTGGGGTCTGCGAGCATTGTGTTCTCCATGTGTAGCAGTGAATGACAGACATGTATCTTTCGAAATTCTTCCAGTTGCTTACCTTGAGCCTTCAGCTCATATATCTTCGTGTTCCTTCTCATCGTATCCTGTATACCTGACCATGGTGATCACCATATCGCATGATGGAAAGACTGTCACCCATCATTTGATCTCAGGGATGACTCGTCCCTGCCGCTTTGCCGGCCCTGCTTGCACGAGTATATAAAGCCCTCTTGAGTTGCTGCACCATCACAGCACTTTCTTGAATATGTGCACCTACCAACTGAACATATACGACGGAATGACAACTATAGGACGCGGATACAGGCATGCAAGTAGTAGCAGTAGCAGTAATCAATTTGTTGCAAGTCAATCTGAGAACCGTCTCTTTCCAAGCCACCGCGAACTCTACGCGCCTGCATAACCGAAGCCCCCTTGCCACTGCCAACTACCCTGCACCGGATCCCATTGCCAGCCTTGCACTTGATCAATATTCTGCGGCTGCCACTGCTGCCAGCCGTTCCCCCAGATCGGTTGGCTATACCCCGTCCCCGTGCTGTGATGTATGGGTGGCACAAAGTGGGCAATGTTGCTCCCAGCAGGGTCGGGAGGGCGTGACTGAAAGGCAGTTCCGTCGTTCCCGTTGTGTTCGTCAGCTGGCGTAGAAGGCATGCCTTGTCCCTGTTGATTGGGATGCGTAGGATGCACCCCGAGCGGGGACTGTACAATTTGTGGCTGCTGCTGGGACGAAATGGGATGCATAGCCTGCATGGCATACGGTAAGACCTGTCCCGACTGAAGATGTTGCCACTGGTTCGGTTGTTGATATTGCGGGCCATACATATGATAAGGCGTTTGCGAGAGCGGAGTCTGTCCTTGCCAACCGAGCGGGTGTTGTTGGGCGTACAGGCGAGGGCTTTGGGGCAAGACGTTCGCAGCGACTGGCGGCGGAAGGTGTGAAGGGCGCTGCGCGTTGGCGTCGCTGTTCACTCCTACGAAACCAATCCCGTGCGCGGCAGGCGGAACATGATTTGCCCAGGCTGGTGGAGTATGGTGCTGATCACCACCCTTCGTCGGTACATCACCTCCGCGTGAGTAGGCGCCTGCACTATTCCCCCCAAATTGCGATGGCTGACGTGTATCGTCAGTCGCGCGTGGCGCATTGACTTCGCGAGGACCCGTAGGAAAGGTGACAAGGGGCGGCGGCGCAGCTCGTTGCGAGTAACCCGTCGTGGGCGCGTGAGCACTTTGAGCGGCGGGTGCGTCATGAAGGGATGAAGGCTGCGCGACCGGCTGTCCTTGATTCCTGCCATTGGCGACGTCGCCAAGTGGGTACTGGACGTCAAGCGCAGGGTCACCAGGATGGGCGCCTCGCGTACCAGGCTGGTAAGTTATATAAGTACACTGACATGAGATCCTTGAGAGCCTCGATGACGTACCGCCTGCGCGCCTCCAGTCTGGCAATCCGAAGGGAGATGCCCAGTTTCCAGGAAACGATCAAGTATCCCGAGTTCTACGGACGTGATTGATATAGTCTTGGGATCCACCAGGGTACCTCTCTTCATGAGGTCCAAAGTCATCAAGATCGCTGCCGCTTGCCTGAAGTGAGAAAGTAGATCAGAACGTAGACAAAAAGCCGAACATTCAGAAATTACCTGCGCAAAGTGAGCGAATGTGTAAGCAACATCACCGGCCCAACTTTCAACGCTGCCTTGAACGCGTCGGACTGCTCTGCATACCACTTCGGGTCGTAGAAGTTTTCTGGAAGCCCTCCGTGCGGCCATTTCGCAGCTGTCTTGCCCTTCGTCCGGCGAATGCGAGTCCAATTCCCGGGGCTTGCGGCAAGGCCTCCATCTGCCGAATCCTGTACCCGCATCTTCGCGCCGCTGTAAAGAAGATCAAGTAGCCGGAAATAGCGCCCAACATCCGGATTCCGCCATGCTGGATCGATGCTGTTATACAAGCGAAGGCCTGGCGCATGGTCCGACTCATCTTCGCTATGAAGGCTGGTCTTGTGGCCGACCCGTTTGAGCAGAACGGCGAGTGCCTTCAGCTCCTCGTACTTCGATGCGGTCTGTATCCTTTGAGCCACAAGCTGCCCAAGTCAGTAAAAGAGGGATGTATAAGCTTAGAATGTCAACTCACAGTGATCTTGCGACTGCGACGGGCCGCCTGTCTGTCTCCTTCCGTGCGGATGTGCTCCTGGCGGAGATGTATCTTCTCGTATTGTCGCCTCAATGTCTTGTTGTGGTAATCGACGTAACGAGACAAGGCGCGTTTCCTTTGCTCCCGAGGAAGCGTCGACTTCGCGATGAGACAGTCAACGACGATTTCCCCCGCTCGCTTATTCCATGCCGTGGACGACGTCGTGCTACAATCCACTCTGAAATGCATAGCTGTAGGACCACCTTCTTTGGTGACCTCGAAGTAGCGTACTTCTCCAAAAGAGAGCGCTGGAAACGGATCCGTATTCTTCGCACGTCCTAGTAAAGACATCGTCATATCGCGAATAGCTGACTAGTGATCCCTATGAGTGCACGGTTGACTGCACTGGACAGAGGCACCACGTACAGCGAAGTCTTTCTCAGATTGTTCACGGAACTTGGTGGGCTTCTTGTCGAAGTCAATGCCGTAAAGACTCCCGTCCTGTTCTTGAGTAACCGACACCTCATCTGAGCCGTCTTCGTCAAGCGATTCGTGTACGGGGTGGATACCCTTCTTGGCGAGCCCGAGCGCCAGTCTCTTGAATCCGAGAGCCAAGGCTTCTACGGAGGCCTCAGTCGCACAGCAAGTCTACAGGGGTGTACATTATCAGTCACCATGGAAGAAAACGCCAAGCAAATTACTACACTCACGTGAGGTCCGTTATTGCGAGACTCTTGCGCTTGATTATCCTGAGCGAGTGGAGGACGAGCCCTTATCTCAGCATCTGAACGTGTCCGCGCCGTGGTCAGCGACGTCTCAATCATGTTTACTCCTCACGCACGTGGGCTGGAGTTGGGCTTGTCGAGGGTTGGTTGGGGTAAAGAGGGAGCGCTGAACGCATCTCTGTAACCTTGGCGCAGGCCGGCCATGAGTTCTCCGGGGTGAAGGGGTAAGGGGCGAGCCGCGACTTGTGCAGACGAGTCGCGAGCTTGATCAGAGATTGGTCCAGTGGGCCTTGGACGTGGTTGTGGGGTTGGATCTGGACACAAGAGATCGTGAGTCAGTGTCAAAGTACCAATCCCTAACTGACTACGATTGTGAAGAGTAAACGTACAAGGGAATGGGTGAGATTGTTGAGTTGATACGTTCCCTGGATGGACATGCTGCATTGGTGTTAGAAATTGATGAGGTGCTTGAAGGTAAGACGACACCATGCTATTGCCAAGGGGCGCTGCGTTCGGAGACACTTGCGACGCAAGTACACGTCCTTGTACGGCTTGACCCAATGCAGTAGGCGGAGGACGACGAGGTCCCTCACTTGCAGGTGAGCGAGAGGATGCGGGCGGAGGCGCCGCTCGAGATGCCGAGTCTTGGGCGCCCTGATCTCTCGTTTTCTTCGCAATGTTCGGTGCATGGGAGTGAAGCCGTGGGCCTTGTGGATGCTCTCTTTGGGGGCCTGCCTTCTCTCGATGAGCTATTCAGGCGAAGATGGTTAATGACGAGGACAAATCGCGCAAAGTTGAGGAAACGTACTGCTTCCTTCCCGCGCGAGTGACCTCATATTTCGTGGTATGGTGTCGTGCATGAATGGGAACACGACGTCCTCATCGTACGCAGCTCTAAGAGAGCCTCGCATGGAATCATCGTGGTCTTCATGATTCGCCAAGCCCGACGGCTTATGGGTCGTCACAGGGGTGGGTGGAGGTCCCATAAGCGAACCCATAGTTTGCTGCGTGGTCTGTTGGCTGGGATGTACAGTGGACAGATCAGCCTCAGCGAACAAGGCTGAAGATGCATCAGGCGGTATGCCACCTAACACCCCTTCCTGGCCGTCCAGCTGTCGATAGATCAGTAACAACATCAGATACGAAAAATGCGAGGGATGTGAGTAAAGGCTGGGACGTTCTACTCACCAAGGGAGCCTTAGGTCCCGGAGCTCGGCCATGCGCGATGAATTCCGTCAACACGGGTGGAAGACGGTCAGGCACAGGTGTCCCACGGATAACCCTCCCCATCAAGTACACGAAGACCGTGAAACCGTGAATGGTCAGAAGGCCAGTTTCAAGTACATCGCATAGATTCCTACCAGGGAGTTAACTGATCCTATGCCGCTCTACCTCTCGTGGAAAACACAGCCGTGGATGCCGCCCGGCACCGTTGTGAACGGAGACGCGGACCCGCGCGGGAGGTCGCCCCAAGGTAGGTAGAGGGGTAGAGAAACAGTAGGTGCCGGAGTTCCGGCACGAGGTTGCCGGAGGGGCATCAAAAGTACTGGGGCTGTCTGGATATGGTATCTACATATAGCGTAGGATAT